TGAGGAGCAGAAGGAGCATTTAAAAGGGAGAGGAGGGGCTGGAGCAATAGCACAGCGGGTAGGGCGTTTGTCTTGCATGCAGCCAACATGGCTGACACAGGTTTGATTCCCAGCATCCCATATGGTCCCCCGAGCACCGCCAGGAACAATTCCTGAGCAATTCCTGAGCCAGGAGTAACTCCTGAGCATCGCCGGGTGTGACCCAAAAAGGAAAAAAAAAAAAGGGAGAGGAAAGGGGTTGGAGATGTGGGCCGGTGCCTGAGGGAGGCCCTGCGTTTGACACGTCAAGTATGTGTGAGCACTGTGGCCAAGTGTGCACACCCAGGGGGGCTGCAGCAACGATAAAGGGAAGACGAAGAGTGAAATGGAACATTGGCTAATTTCTAGCCTGCTGTACGATGGGTCAGCAAGACAGAACAGCGGGTAGGCTGGAGACAGTATGCAGCTTCTTTTTTTTTTAAAAAAAGAGGGGGCTGGAGAGATAGCACAGCGGGTAGGGCGTTTGCCTTGCACGCGGCCAAACCGGGTTCAATTCCCAGCGTCCCATGTGGTCCCCTGAGCACCGCCAGGAGTAACTCCTGAGTGCAGAGCCAGGAGTGACACCTGTGCATTGCCAGGTGTTACCCAAAAAGCAAAAAAAGCAAAACAAACAAACAAACAAAAAAACCCAGGGAGATATTTCAAAGGGCTGGAAAGTGTGAGAAGTTTGGCTTGGGTCCCCACCACCCCACCACCACACGATCCCCTGGTCACTGCTGGGAGTGGGCCCCAAAATGAAAGAATGAGTAAAATAGAAAGGGAAAGAAAATAAGGGGGGGGGGTGCATCAACAGCAGAGAACTGACTGAACACTGCTGAAGGACCAGATACCCCGGCCATTTCATCTCCAGACCACAAAAGGTTCCGTCTCTAAGGAAGGTGACCCTAAGGCTGTTGGGACACCAGAGCCGTGTATGAGCAGAAAACAAGACAGAAAACAAGACACTGCCGGGCAGGTGTGCAAGAAAAGATGCAGCGCAATGCCTGGATAGTGCAGCCCCTCCCTGCTGCTCAGCCAATCATCACTCATGCTCCAAGTAGCACATGGGGAGAGATCCCTTGGGGCCACCGGATCAGCTTCAGAGGAAGGACCCCCACAGTGACAGCAAGGAGTTCCGATCAAACAGACTGGAGGGACAGTGCAAGGCCTAGAGCACCTGCCTTGCAGCAAGTGGTCAGACATTCACATCCCCACCGTCTCGCATATGCCCACTTCGCATATGCCCACTACGCATATGCTGACTAAGATTCAGACAGTCCTGTTAGTGGGCATGGTAGCCCGCATGTCTGCAACCCCGGCGCTGCAATCAAGTTTCCAGCCAGGAAGTGTGATTCCAGGCAAACACCAAAACAACCCAAAGAGTGGGCACTCCAGCAGGCACCCATGCAAACGCCACAGCTACAAAGGTATACACAACTGGTGGTGGGAAATGTGCACTGGTGTCCAAATATGAACAACTTTGTAACTGTGTATCTCACTGTGATTCCATTTAAAAAATGATTAAAAAAAAAACTAAAACAACATATACATAAGAGCCAGAAAGGTAGTATAGTGAGTTAGGCAGGCACAGGGTTAATCAGGGTTCAATCACCAGCTCCCCATATGGTCCCCAAGCCATACAGTGATCCCTCAGGACAGAGCCAGGAATAAGGCCCAAGCACCCCAAGGTATTAAGAGATATCTGCACAGCGGTAGGGCGTTTGCCTTGCACGCAGCCAACATGGCCAACCTGAGTTCGATTCCTCCGCCCCTCTCGGAGAGCCCGGCAAGCTACCGAGAGTATCTCGCCCACAGGGCAGAGCCTGGCAAGCTCCCCATGACGTATTCGATATGCCAAACACAGTAACAACAAAGTCTCCAATGTAGACGTTACTGGGCCCGCTCGAGCAAATAGATGATCAACAGGAGGGCCTTTACTTACTTACTTACTTACTGATGATGAAAAAGATAGGCCAAAACAAACACGAGAAAGAAACAACCTAGACAACAACAATCATGAGCACACTCAGACAGAAAAAAGATTATACCAAGAAGCCAGATCCCCAGCTCCAAATAATAATCCCCTGAGCCTCACCAGCGGTGATCCCTGAGCAAAGAGCCAGGAGTAAGCCCTGGCTTACTGAGCACAGTCAGGTATGCCCCAAAAATCCAAAGAAAAAAAAACAAAGTATAGCATGAAACAGAAACAAAACCTCAAAAACAAAAAAGAAAAATTCTAAGAAATAAAGGGGTGGGGACTTGGCAGTGATGTTCTTTTGGTTTGGGTTCAGTTTGGGGGCTGCAACCAGCTGTGCTCAGGGCTTTCTCCTGGCTGTGTGCTCAGGAATCACTCCTGGCAGGCTCCAGGGGACCATTTGGGGTGCCAGGGATCAAAGCTGGGTCAGCTGTATGCAAGGCAAGCACCTTACTGGCTCGACTCACTCTCTGGACCAGAACTAAAGTTTTTATTTATTTTTTTTTCTTTTCATGTGTGTCTGGGATGTATTTCAGGGGTGTCAGGTATGAGTGCTTGTTTCATCACTGGCACTGCAAAAAAAAAAAAATTGGTAAGAACTGAAACTGAGGGGCTGGAGTGATAGCACACTGGGTAGGGCATTTGCCTTGCACACGGCCGACCCAGGTTCTATTCCCAGCATCCCATATGGTTCCCCCCCTCCCCAAGCACTGCTAAGAGTAATTCCTGAATGCAGACCCAGGAGTAACCCCTATGCAACTCCGGGTGTGACCCAAAAAGAAAAAAAAAAACCAAAACAGAAACTGAAACTGAAAGGAGATAGAAAACTAACTGGAGCGGAGACTAGAGGGTTGCTCTAGGCTGAGCACAGGCTTGGCACGTGGGAGTCCCAGACACATTGCAAGCAGGTGCGAAGCTGGGAGCAGACCCTGCGCACCACCAGGTATGGCCCCAAAGTCACAGTAGAGAAACCCTGAGCAGGGGCTGGAGCAATACCACAGTGGGTAGGGTGTTTGCCTTGCACGCAGCCGACCCAGGTTTGATTCCCAGCATCCCATATGGTCCCCCGAGCACGGCCAGGAATGATTCCTGAGTACAAAGCCAGCAGTAACCCCTGACCCAAAAAGAGAAACCCTGAGCAAACAAAACACAGAATCCACAAAGAAGACAAAAGGACAATAAGAAGAAGAAATATTTTTTAAATCATTTAAAACATTGAGCAAACAAAACAAATAATCCACCAAGGAGAAAAAAAAGGACAAAAAGTATTTTTAAAATCATAAAGCCAAAATTCAACCAAATAATAGCTCCAGATAAATACAAGAGAGAAAAAGAAGTCAAGATAAGCAACCAGAACCCAAACTCAGGCGCCATTTGGAAGTCCCCACAGGGCCAGGGCGACAGCTCAAGAGGCTGGAAGTCAGACTGTGTGTGTGGGAGCTCGGTTCAACCTAGAATCACATAACCCCGGGGAGCAATTCGTGGTCCCCAAGCACTGCGCCAGGTGTGCCCCCCCCCAAAGGAAGTGCCCCTCAAATGAACATCCAATGGATGAAAACAGACCCCACACATCTGGAGAACACTTGTGACCAGAGAAAGATTCTGTAAACTTCCGGGTAAGCTTCCAAACCTCTCACATGCGAAAAACAGTAACTCAGAATACAGTTAGATTTCTCAAGAGGGGAGCTGCAAGAAAATAACTGCACAGCATTCTGGAAATCTGGATTATCCTGTGCCAACTTTATGAATTAGGAGGAACCTGGCAGAGCGCTCTCTCTCTCTCTCTCTCTCTCTCTCTCTCTCTGCCTGGCTGGGTCTGCCCACAAGTTTATGAAGACCCTGCCCTTCTCTTTCATTGTATCCCACCCAAGACTATTTTTTTACAGGAGGCTTCCCTGAAGTACCCAAGGCTGACTCGTGATACTTGGTCAGTTGAGTGTGGGCCAGGCTGTAGTTAGTGTCACCAGGGAAAACACAGTGGGGATTGAGGGTGGCGGAGGGCGTGTGGGGCTGGGGACCAAGTATGTGGTGCTGGGCAACCTCAGGGTCTTGTACATCACAGCCACACGCTATTCTGCTTTCAGCTATCTATGTCCCTCACACAAAAAGATTTTATCTGTTCCAGCTCTGAGAGCTCAAAGAAGGCTTGACTTATTTATTCAGCAGTTATTATTTTGTAGGATCACAAATCATACTCAGGCCATGCAGGCTACATGCTCCAGCACTGAAGACTGAAGCTGAAAATAAAGGTACCACACCTTTACACCGTGTGGCCACATTTTCACAAGATACCCAAGACCAGGGCCACATGGTGCCACTCCGGAAACCCTCCCTCCATCCGACCCGCCCCACTGACCCGAAACCCTCAGGAGCAGGAAGGCAGAAGTCAGACCACGAACCTGAAGCCAGTGAGGACAGAACTAATCTTCCTGTAGGTGGTTTGTTCTAGCTGCTCTAATCTATATATACAGATGAATTAAAGCTAAAAGAGAAGGAAGAGGGGCGGGAGCAATAGCACAGTGGGCAGGGCGTTTGCCTTGCACTCCGCCGACCCAGGTTCAATTTCCAGCATCCCTTATGGTTCCCTGAGCACTGCCAGGAGTAACCCCTGTGCATCGCTGGGTATGACCCAAAAAGAAAAAAAAAAAAAAAAAAAAAAAAAGGAAAAGGAAAAGGAAAAGGAAAGAAAGAAGCAAGAAAATCCTAACATCAAGGTGAAGCTGAAGATCAAGTTTTATTGGACTAAAACCAGGAAAGGACCCAACAGTGGATTTCCACTTAAAAACTTCTATTTTCTCCTCACCTGACCACTGAATACCATGTTCTGCACTTTTTAAAAGTACCTGTCAGTCTTTGTAATTTCTAAAGACTGCTTTAATGCATATATCCTCCAAAGGACTTTTATTTCCCATTACCCCACCACCACCGTCACACACTCATCATTAAGCCATAGTAACTGGCTAATTTTAAACCCACGAGACCAAAAATTAAGACCATATTTACTCACATTATGAGTCTTCGGTTTAAGAACCAGTATTTCCTCCGACTTCTGTCGTAGCCGATAGGTTCGTGTCGAATATATGGTTTGTTTTTTTGGATTTCAGCAACACAGTCAGTCACACCAGGCACCTTGTGTGCGACACAGACCTCACACTGCCATTCATCCTCGGGCACCTCCTCCAGAGGCGGCTTCACACACTCCAAATGGTAGACGGCCGAACACGTCTCACAGCAAAGCAGGTCCCCAAGTTTGTGACAGACCCGACAATGGTCGTCGTACTGAATCACCCCTTCCGACATCAGTTCCTCGCGGGCTATATTGGTGGTGAGAAACTGATCGACCAAGAACTGCAGGACTTTGATCTTGTTCTCCACGGGTCCGTACGGGTAGTCCTCTGCCTCTTGGAAAGGAAGAACGTGGTGGTACTCCCGGTCGCTCTCGCAGTACACCCGCAGCACCTCCGGCCACGTCATCCCGTCGATGAAATAGAGCGTGGAGTTCACACTGTCCTTCAGGTCAGCGGGCCCGAAGGTGGTGTTGGAGGTGTCCTCTTCCCGCAGGACCGCTTTCAAAAGGACGACGTGCATCTCCGCCATGAGGGTGCACTGCTCCTGGCTCACCAGGGCCGCACAGAAGTCCTCAAAGCGGAAAGGCGACAACCGCAGGACAGTGCCAAAGTTCCGCAGTACCTCATAGATGGCAATGACATTCATTATATGCTCGTTAGGCACCATTAGATCCTCTGAGGACTTGGGGAATTCAAGAGGCGGGATGTCCTTCTCTTCCAATATTGGAGATCGAGGCCGATGGACTCTTGGTTTTCGCCTACCTATAAATACAGAAATAGCAGAATTACAAATCCATATACCACGCAATTTATAAAAAAGTATTTTTCCAGGTTTCCCTAGTTAGACATACACCTCAAATACATATACATACACAAATACACACACAAATATAGATTTTATGTATCTACATACATATATATACACACACATATATATGCTTCAATTTATTGAGCAGTTGTCAGCTAAAATAAGTCATTATTTTGTTTAATTTTTAATCTTTAGAGAATCTAAATTTAGGGGACCAGAGACATAGTACAATGGGTAGGACACATGCCTTGCATTTGACCCACCCCGGGTTGTGTCCTTGGCATCCCATATAGTCCCTGAGTAACACCCGGCGTGACCTCTAAGTGTAGAGTCAGGAGTAAGCCCTGCACTCCACCGGGTGTGGCCCCAAACACCCCTCGCCCTCCCCCAAACTCGAAGTTTTCCCATTATATTCCAAACCAGAAGGGAAATCTTAAATTATAGTCATCTCTGAATTACCTAGAATTAAATGGCTTACAGGTAACCATTAAAAACACTGGAGCACGTTAATGAAAGATCTAACAGAACACGAGTGAGACAAACATCTCTGTGTAAGATCACAGGCCCCAGAGGCCTCCCGCTGAGAGAACTGTCGTGCCCCCGACAACGTTTGTGCCGCAGCACCCCCGTCCTCTGAGACAGAGCCCTGCAGTGGGAGCACAGGGCCGGATGGGCCAGGAAGGAAGAGGGAAGGAAGGAGAGGATGCTGTAGGGGAGTAGGCCGGGCTCCCAGACTGCAAGGGGAGGACAAGGCAGGCCAGGAGGGGAGAACTCTCCACAGCAGCAGACACTGGATTAGAATGGTTTTACCAGTCTGTAAGGCAATTGTAGGTGCTTACTACCCTACTGAGGAAATACCATGTCCTGGAGTACTTGCTCTGCCCGCCAGGACACAATCCACACGGCACGTGAGATAGTGTGAAAACACACCTATTTCACCGACTCCGAGGACAAGCCTGTGAAGGGCTGTGGGAAGCCCTGCCGCGCGAGCAGGACAGGCTGCGAGGGCCTAGGACGGGGCTCAGAGGGCACAGTGGGCACAGCACCCGCCTTCTGTGCCTGAGGCCACAGTTCAGTCCTCACTGTCCCACAGCGGTGCCACTGTGACCTCCAGGAAGCAGCCCAACCAAGAGGACAAGCCCCGGCACGGGAACAGCAACAATGTAAAGGGAACGGAAAAAAATGAACGGTGGAAACACATGTCTTCACTGCCGCTTTTATGCCATCACTACGATTATCGTTTCCAATGATGTTTAACCATGGAAATTTTATTTTCCACATCAGAAATAATCATGCAAGATCAACACTAAAGTTATTGTGCACAATTAAGTTCTATTAACTCTGAGTAGCTGTTACCGCGGAACTGCCTCCTCCCTCCCTGATTCCTGTTCCTGCTCTTATTATCTTGCATCAGGAAGGAAAAAGTGTGCCGAACAATATGGAAGATGGATATTTTTAATTACGAAAGCACCACAAATATTCGTTCCCTGAAAATCAGCACGTTCCCCAAATTATACGGCCATCCCTTTCTCTGAAGAAGTTCAAAGTGGATCAACCTGAGCCCGACACGGCTGGGGGCCAAAAAAGAAGTGTCCTGGCTCACAGAAAATCTCACTGTCCACAGGAGCAGTTCTCAGAGTCCACGGATTCCCATCAGAGAATTAAACCACAGCCTCACAGCACACCAGCAAGCATCATATGGACAATCTGGCCCAGTTCTCTGTCTAGGGGAATTACTTGGGACACCCTCACACGTACGTGCGTGAGAAAAAGCAGAAAAGAAAGAAAAGGGAAGGAAGGTCCTTAGCAGAATGAACTGAACCTAGAGGATTGCCCCCAGACGACAAAACGATGGATAGGCACAGGCCCTATGGTCCTCTCTACAAAATGCCATATAGCAAGTCCAGGCAAGGCAAGGCCAGAAACCCAGCCCTATTCAGCCAGGCTGGGGATGTCTGCTTCTTTTTCCAACAATATATGAGGGCTGTGCAGATTTTCGGAGAACTGGGGCATGTATAGAAAAGTCAGGGAAACTTCTTGGGCTTTGGGGCACAAATGAACGGGACAGAAGGGAACACATCGAAGCCAGAGCACCCACTGAACTCGCCTGAGACTCGGAGGCCGAGAGGACAGTGGGGAGGGTGTTCACTATGCATGCACGCGGCTGATCTGGGCTCAAACCTGGCATCCCACATGGTCCCCCTCGCCAGGAGTAATTTCTGAGTGCAGAACCAGGAGAGCCTGCACACTGCCGGTGTGACTCCAAAACAAAAATGAAACAAAGACCTAGACTCAGAGTCCAACTGCAAGGCCAGAATAGAGGGAACATGACTTTACGAAGGAGATCAACAGATACGGAATATTCTACCACGCCCCTGAGGTTTAACTGTGGTACCACTTCCTCCAAAAGATAACTGGGCTCTTTTTCCTTCTTCACTGCCTAGGCTCTTTTTCCTTCTTCACTGCCTTTTTTCCAGCACGATGTTACCCTGTAATTGATCTTTTCTTGTCTACTCATCTCTCCAACTGAATACTCCACCCTAGTGCCAAGGAAAGACTGGCAGGGCCAGAGAGTCCAGGAGATGAGGCGCTTGCTTTATACACAAATGATCTCAGTTCAATCCTTAGCCCCACCTATGGTCTGAGCACAGAGCTATGAATGGACTATAAGCATTGCCCTGTGGCCACAAACACACCCTCTCAAAAAAAAAAAAAAAAGGAAGGGGAAAATTGGCATATTTCACTGTAAGCATTTGCCCAGAATTACTCCCTTCTCTTCCTTCTTTTATTGGGGGGTTGGGGGAAGGGTGCTGGGGCGGCATACCGGGCGGTGCTCAGGAACTATACACAATGCCAGGAATCAAACTGCAGTTGGCCATCTGCAAGATGGGAAGAGCCGTATCTCCTACACTGTCTTTCTGTAGCCCAAGACTCATTCTCTTTCAAAATTGAATTTCTCTCAAACCTCATTACTCTGGCTTCTCGTGGTCACTGGGATGACACATGATGAAGTAAAAATCTTTGCCTGGATGTATGTGCCAAAGGACAGGTGCTCTGATGTCAAGAGAGGAACGCTGAGCTGTTTCTTTCCATGAAGTGGCCAGTTACTGTCCTGGTTCATCCTCAACCCCTTTACCTCCTCCTCAAGGAAGAAGGGAGAAGGACTACACAGATTTCTGTCCCACTTAAGGGAACAAGTTGGTTTCCTGTCATTTTCAAGTAAGAATACAGGCTAAATATAATAGTGGCTAAGGCTGTATACAGAATTTTTTAATAATAAAAATTATGGCAAACTCACCTTTCAAAGGCTATCAAAGACAGCAGGTAACATTTTAAAAGACAAGCCAAGGGGCTGAAGCCTTGCAATGGGTTCAATCTCAGGTACCACATACAGTACTCCAAGCACTGCCAAGGTAAACCTTGGGCACAGCTGGTTTGGTTTTGGGGTTTTGGGGGGACAGTGCTTTTTGAGGCCACCCCCAGCCATTTCAGGGATTACCCCTGGCTCTACACTCAGAAGTAACTCCTGGTAGTGCTCAGGGGGCCATATAGGATGCCCAGGATTGAGCCCCGCTCAGCTGCGTGCAAGGCAAACCGACCTCCCCGCTGTATTATCACTCCAGTCCCAAACAGCACTATTTTGCAAGGTAAAACAGAAATATTGTCTGATTTTAAAGAATCCATTTTCACACAACCTTAAAGATGTTGGCTATTGTTTGGAGTTGTTTAGCTTTTGCATTTATATTTGTGGTTTTGAGGCACACCACGTGGTGCCCAGGAACTATTCCCAGCTTGGTGCTTTGGGCAACATGAAGTGCAAGGGATCAAACCTGGGCTTTCAGCATGCAAAGAATACATTCAACCCGTAAAGAGTGCTTTTTTTCACTGTTCATTTAGCTTCATATGAAGCTACAGTCCGTTAATTTCCAAGTAGTTTTCAAGAAAAAAAAATGATTTCCTCCTACACCTACTGCCTAAAGAAAATAAACAAAAAATCTCTAAGGAATCTAGGATATAGCTCAGTGGGAGAATGCATGGTTCAATGTTTCAGAGGCCCTGAACTCAATCCCGGCACCAAATAATAAAGCAACTTAAAAAACTAAAAAGAATCAATGCAAACCTCCAGACTTTTCAGAAAAAGGCAAAGTAAAACTACAATGAGAAACAATTTCTTTTTCTTTTAACAAATTGTATGTTTTTTTCCTCCCCTTTTATGTTGTTACAACCACCAGGGGTCACCACACTTGGCGGTTAGTGCTGGATGGGGCTTGCGCACTGGTTTCATCCCTGTCTGCAGGCTTGCTCACCAGGGAGCATACTCTTCGGTTTGAGCTGTGGTGCTTGCACGTGGCTATGGCACCACAAAACCCGCACGTTGCCCTGTGTCCCTGGAATCACACACAGCCACACGGAGGCAGTGCTGGGAATCAAGTGAGAGGTCACGCACATGCAAGGCACCTGCCCTGTCACTCACTGAGCTATTCCCTGCACCCAGCAACAGCATTTCATTACCACCAAACCTCTGGAAAGAACACAGAATGCAGAAGCACGGGGGTCTCATCAGAGCGACCAGCATGCACGGACCACCCCTCTGGGGACTGTCCACTTCACCCAGAGAGTTTGGTTTGCACAGTTACCCGTGACCCAAAATAAGAAATATACATCTCAATACAATGGCTTTTCAAAATACTACTCCCACTATATCTCTTGTATTACTATCTTCTCTTCTAATATATCACCTATTGAAATATTTCCACTTTTTAAACAAGCTGGATAATAACAAGAGCCCGGCAAGCTACCGAGAGTATTCGATATGCCAGACACAGTAACAACAAAGTCTCCAATGGAGACGTTACTGGGCCCGCTCGAGCAAATCGACGATCAATGGGAGGGCCTTGATTGATTGATTTGAATATAAAAAAGTTTGAAAAAAACAAGCTGGATGGAAGGCCAG